TTTTCTTACAAGCAGTTTTCTATTTTTATAGAAGAAAATAAGATCCAAAGAAGAAACGTTAAAGAATGAGCTCTGATCTTAAAGTTTTGGAATTCTTAAAAGAATGGGATTGGATATAAATAAAACTTACCTGGTAAGTTTATTAATATGGAAATTCAGAACTCATCCAGGAAATTCAGCTTCTTTTAGTTTTCCTACCTTGGTTCTCTCAACATTTTGGACTAAATAGATCAATTTCTGCAGTGTGAGATCAGAGTGGGCTCTTTGGTGCATTATAGTCTTTCTCTCCCCCATGACAATTATATGCTTGTTGGACTAACTACTCTCTAAATACTTTTGATTTTAAGTTTATTAAGAACAGACTGTCGATAGAGCTCTGAATATACAGTAGGAGTTCAAGAAATACTTTTCAACTTATTCCCCATTTCTTGTACATTTTTATTGTAAAATTAAAGAATATAAAGTTATAATTCTACAAAAGAAGATAATCTTCCATAGAAAGTTAAGGTACTTATTATGCTTGCCTTGTTCTTAAGAGAACAAACTTCTTTTGGTCATTTCTCTTAAAGTAGTAGCATATTAGTCATGATTTTTTAAAACTATTGCTAGAGACAGAGGGACGAAATGGAATACCATCATAGGATGTGTTTGAATGTGCTGGGAGAGAGAGATGTGGATGTGTGGTTCTCTCTATACTCACAGAAGTACTTCACAAGGTTTTCCATTTGTATAGAAATCTTTTAGCTCTTGGATGGAAAAATCTCTTTTCTGTTAAAACTTGATGGAATTTCTACTCCTGGCAAGGACAACAGTTATTCAGTGTGGATCTTGAAAACCTGTGTCAGGGTTGTCCAAATGGGCACCAAATAAAGAGAGTGAAGAAAAAAATCTCACTAAATATTTTAAAATTATTTTTGGTTCCAGGTGATGGACTGCCAGGTCATGACTGGCACTTAAAAGACTGACCCTTTAACTCAGACTCAAGGGATCAATTTTGATCTAAAAACCTTGCCCCCCTCAGGGGACAGGTGGGAAAGGAGGCTTAAGGGGGTATATTGGGGATATTGGTGGTGGGGAATGTGCACTGGTGGAGGGATGGGTGTTTGATCATTGTGTGATTGTAACCCAAACATGAAAGCTTGTAACTATCTCACGGTGATTCAATAAAATTAAAAAAAAAAAAACAAACCTTGTCCCCTCATACCAGTGGCCCAAGAAACAAAGGTAAATCCCAGACCTTACTTCACAATCTGGACAACACATGCCATTGAATCTCGACATTGCTCACAGATAGATTTAGTCTTTTTAAACTTGAGCTTCTATGTAGGGTCTGGCTGGGGACTTGGAGTTTTATATTTGAATCTAGGTTCTTTTGCTTCAATGATTTGGACCATTTTGTTTGCGACTTTCAAGCATAAGTAATGGGTTGATAAACTGCACTTCTGTGGATCCATGTTATTATATCAAAAGAGTCCTTTTGTTATAAGGCCACTTGGAAGTGAGGAATCAACTTTCTGGTAGCACTGCACTGTAGCACTGTCCTCCTGTTGTTCATTGATTTGCTCAAGCGGGCATCAGTAACATCTCCCTTGTGAGACTTGTTGTTACTGTGTTTGGCATATCAAATATGTCACGGGTAGCTTGCCAGGCTTTGCCGTGCGGGCGAGATACTCTCAGTAGCTTGCTGGGCTCTCTGAGAGGGGTGAAGGAATCAAACATGGGTTGGCCCAGTCAGCCGTGTGCAACGCAAATGCCCTATCTGCTGTGCTATCCAAGAGTCTCCAATTGGAACCTTCAAAAATTTTGGGCCAGAAGATAGTATGGTGGTTAGGATGCATGCCTCCCATGTGCCCGATCCAGGTTTGATTCCTAACACAACATGGCACCCTGGCTTCACCTGCTCCACTTCCGGAGACCCGGCAGTACGCTGACGTGACCCAGATATCCCTGACCTGGGTAGCACTGCATCCTCAGGAATGCTGGGCTGATTGGTCAAGAATCACTGGTGGGGCCATTAGAGTCCCTGAGCACTGCTTGGGAGTCCTCCATACCCACCATATGGTCCATAAAAATAATCTTCAATAATTTTGGTTAAACTTCTATTACAATAGCAACTAAGATTGATTGAGCACTTACAACCTACCAGATCTTCTTTCAAACACTTTACATAAACTACTATTCACAGTACTTCTAACATCTGTGATTATTTGGACTCTACAAGAAATTGAGGAATTAAGTTGCTATATAAATAGAAACAGTGTCCAAGTCACATAACTCATTGACAGCCAAATGATTCTTGATTTGCCCCCTTCCACCCAAAGAATGATCTTCCTTTTGTCCGCCTAAGGACAAAATGAAGCACATGGTATATTTGAAGGTAATTTGCACTGTAATCTTTTCAGTAGGATAAATCCAAGGGGGAAAACTTTTGATTCCTTTCCACTCAAAACCTACATCCAAATAGTTTGGGAAATCTACAAAGTTTGTCTTCAAAATACATCTAGTGCTGCCAGCCTGCTTCTCTAACCTTCCATTTACATCTTATCCTTCCTCTAAATGCATGTCACTGATGTCTATTCAACTGGGTCCTGATTCATACATCCTCAAATCATCTTTATTCGTCCTATCACTCGAGAATGCTATCTGCCTAAATTATAAGAATCCTGAGATTTGAGATCTTATGTGCATTCATTGATGTGTTCTGCATCTGTTTTTGGTGGTGCACAAATCATTGTGCTAGGCACTGTCCTGATTGCTTGAGATCCATCAAACAATACAACTGATAAAAATCCTCTATCTACTAAGTAGGGAGAGATGGGAAGAGAGACAGCTGACAATTAGTAAGAAGCATAACAAATGAAGAACATGCTATGTTTGAAGGTAATTTGCACTCTATAAAAAAATAGAACAGAGAGGAACTGACACAACTAAAGTTAGAAATTTTAAATAGAAATACACTAAGTTGGCATTTAGGAATAGACTTTGAAATTGTGAGTCTACATGGGCAAGAACACACCAAACCGAAGGCTTCAGTGACTATATTCTGTGAAATGACCAGAAATACCTGATGAGCTCTGGTAAGCACATCAAGAGGCTGATGGTCATCCTTGGAAGAGAGGGTGGAGAGCAGAATGCAGAGAGGAGGCAAGATGGAGGCTGGTGAGTCTTGATAGAAAGTGTCCTTTGCCCAGAGACAGGATGTGATGTGAATGATGTTTGAAAGATCACTCTGGCTTCTGGAACAACCCATGGGAGGATACATATGGGAGGACTAGTGTGACCAGTCAAGAGGCTTATCGCAATATTTAAGGCAATGGAAGGTGGAGTGAGGAGGAAAAGGACTTTACCAAGAGTTGTTTCTCTTTTCCACTTTAAAGGGCATTAGGAAGGACATCCCTTCTTCTTGGCTTAGAGACCCAACCCAAATTGCTGTCCTGGATCTGCCTTACCACAGCTATGGCCCAAGAAGCTCCCTCTTCCAATATCCCTGCTTCTCTGCTTCCTGAGTATGGCTGTTTCTCTGTGGTATGGTCAGGCATAATGACAAATACAGGCCCAAATTATTGGATCAGTCAAAAGCAGGGAGGAATCTGGAATGGAGTTATTAGGTTTGGAGTATTTTAATCATTTCCTGCAGGTTGGCAGATTTTTCAAAAGGGTCAATTTCTAAAAGAACTGGGCAGGTTTGACTTGAAGAAGTTTCATTGTTTCTGCATGCAGTTTTAATATCTGGTCAACTGACTGGACATCCAGCTAAGGAACATCTGAGACATGAGCTTTTCCCCTTGTGACATTTCTCTGTAACAGTTCTACTATTCACTTTGGTCAAGAAACACTTTTCCATCATCTGTATCCATTTCCCTGGCTTACCAGCCTTCCAGAAAACTGATTTTTCTCCTACTAGGATTAAAAGCCTGTGGAGGGTGAGCAGGTGAGTGGGGGATTGTCTATGTTAGCCTGTGGCATTCTGCTCATTTAGAAAATAACTCATTTTCATCTTTGTTGTCCAACTTCAGAATTCTGTTACCTCTTACAAACACCCTTTATTGAGGAGATACTTACTAGTGAAATGTCTATTAAAGACTAGATAGAAGATGACCATAGTAATCACCCAAGTTGATCTTCAAATACTTTAGTCTTTAGAATTAGCTAGTGGAAAACATGCATTTGGTTGCAGAAACTAAAGTGCTTGTGACAGAGGCTGAGATTTGTTCCCAGGCAAACCATGCTCTAACTTCATCTCTGGTGCTGAGTTATGAGGTGCTGACAATTGACAGTAACTACCTAAGCCCAAAGGTTCAAGCAGGGGTCTTGGAGTCAACGAGATAGGTTCTACTGGCAAGTATTTATTTCAATAGATTTGGGATAAGGCTCGGGCATCACTATTTTCCTAAAACTCTACCAATGATTTCATGTGTAACCAGAAATGAAAACTATTGACACAAAGGACTCAGAGAGGGTACTCTGAAGAGCAGGCAGGGACAATGCAGTCTCCACTTTGAGATCCTTATGGCATCAGGACCTTTACCCATCTCTCTTGTATTATAAATTATCCATTGATTTCTGGATCGCTTCCACAATCACATAAACAAACTGCAATTATCTCCCTTTAAATAAAACACACTTCTTATACTCATTTTCTTCCAGTTACCATCCCATTTGAGAGAAGACCTCCAAGAGGCCCTTTCTGTATATGCTATCTGGTTCCTTTCTGTGCATTTCCTCCAGGTCTTCTCTCACTACAGTATAGACACTGTCTTACCATCTCGTTGTACGAGTGTGCTCAGGGTTCACCCTCAGTAAGAGCAATACGAAGTCCAGAGAAGCCCACCACAGATCTTCCTGATATACTCCGGGGCTCAGCACACCTCTGACCCAGCCCATGGCTGGCCCAGCAGTATCAGCATCAAGACTCAGTGAATAGAATACAGAACTAGAAAACTTTCCAGGGGGATGATAATGACAATGTGGCTTCAGTAAAGGGAAAGGGGATGACTTACGCAGTGTGTGGTGGTGATGATGACGGAACTGGAGATGAAAGAGAGGCCATCGTTCATGCTGACCTGGAGTGCAGCCTTCCTGCAATGACAATTTGACCATAGATAACTCCATGGGTGTGCAGGAGCAAAAGCCCAGGAATTGGGCATGTCAGTTCCCCTTAAGTACCTCTCGTACTGTAGTGTATCTCTTCAGGGACTGGCCTGAGCCATCTCTTCTATAAAGTGTGGAAGCTGACTTGTCATTTGGGTCTCCCCACCCTGATACCTTGGAAAAGTTGTCAGGATGTGCTTGGCTGGTGCAGCAGGGCAGTGTATTCAGCCTGTTCTCACTACGGAAAATTGATCGCATTGAATAGGCAGAGCTTGCTTCCATCTAATTTACTCGTCACATTGTAGTAAGATGAAATATATTTGGGGGACGGGGGTACAAAAGAATGCCCAGTGCTGCTTAGGGCTTATTCCTAAATTTATGCTTAAGGATTCCTCTTGGTGGTACTTGGAGGATCATACAAAGTACTGGGGATCTAAGTGTTGCTGTCAGCATGCAAACAAAGCTTTAACCACTCTACTGTCTCTCTGGCTCTCAGGATAAGTGGTCAAGGTAATTGAAATAAACGTGTCAAGCTACAGTTATCTGCTATAGTTATCTACTATAGCAATGCTACAGTTATCCATAGTTATCTGCTATAGTTATCTACTCTCAGCAATCTCATGGGTTATCTTTGAAACTACCCCAAAACGCAATATAGTAATGGGCTGATTTCCTGTCCACCTCCTCTATCTTATTTGAGACTTGAGACATGAGCGTGTATTTTTCTTCTCATTTTACTGCCTGGAAACAGGGCTTGTTTATGGATCTAGGGGTGTCATAAGTATGAATGCTCTATAATCCGAATAAGCCACTGAAACTAGAATTCTGATGAACCAGACTTTTTCTCTTAAGAACTATTACATGCTATATTTAACTTACTATAAACTTGTATATGAAAAGACTTGTTTTTAACATTGTTTCTATTTCCCCATATATTTATGTTTCTTTCTTCCCTTCTTTCCCTTCCTGTTTTTGCTGTACTTGGTAGGGATCAAACCCAGGACCTCATATGTGCTAGACAAGTGTTGTACTACTGAAACACATGCCCAGAACTTCTAACATATTTCTTTTCTTGCTCAAAGAGATAATTAATTTTCTTCTGAGACTGTTTTATTACCCTTCACTAGCACTTACTATAATGGAACCAATGTGAGATTTTTTTCTCACTTTTTCTTTTCCTTTTGGGTACACCTGGCGATGCACAGGGGTTACTCCTGGCCCTGCATTCAGGAATTACTCCTGGAAGTGCTCAGGGGACCATATGGGATACTGGGAATTGAACCCGGGTTGGCCACATGCAAGACAAACGCCCTACCCACTACACTATCACTCTAGCCCCTAATGTGAGTTTTTCTTGATAAATCAGGAAAACATTTGAAGTCTGGGTCTGTATTTTATGCCTTGAGGGGGCCAGAAGAAGGAACACATAGCCAGGCCTCAGAAATTCTGAATCTAGGTTGGTCTTGAGCTGGCTACTCACCTAGTTAGCCCTTCTGAACTTCTGGAATTTCTGATTTTCCTTATTCTAAGGAAGAGATAGCAAACATATAGCAGAGCAAGGTAATATGTGAGGGAATGTTTGGGGAAGTTTGAGAGCTTTTGAAAAATATGGTTGTGATTACGACAGACAGACCTTGGTTTGAACATAGATTTCTGTCCTTACCGCTGTGTGATCTTGAGTAAACTTCTTAAGTTCTCTCAGTCACACATTCCAAATTTGTAAAATTGGATATGATGCTACCTGGTTGGTGGAGAATGTGGGAGGATGAATCAAGTTACCCTTTGTACATTTAACCTGGTGCCTGGCTCACAGTGAACCCCAATACCATCATAGTTAACTGGAGGAATCTAGAGATACTTTCTTCTTGTTCACTCTGCTCCCACTCTTTATCTCCGCTTTGTAAGGTTCAGTTACTGGTGGAAACTTACATGCCAACTTCCTTTAAGATAGGTGCTGGACACAGCAAATAAGTGTCTTCCACAGTGAAGGGTTTCTCATCTGTAAATAGAAGGTCAGTGGATTAAGAGTGAGGCAAGTATATATATATATATATTTATAATCTGAAATTCATTAACTCCAAGAGACAATTGACAAAGTTCTGTGATACTAGAAAAGCATTAACTCTTTGAAGGAGAAACATGTCTTGAGCTGTAAAATCCACTAGTGTGAACTTAAGGTCTTTTGCCTGAATCTCAGTGTCTGAACACATTGTCCAGTTGAGTCAATCAGTTTGCAGTGTTGAAATTCCCCAAATAATAGAAATGGCTGAGGGAAAACTAGGAAACTAGATTGATCCTTAGACTTATTGAAAGATCTAAGTCTAATTTGGGAGAAAAGTCATTCATGGAAAATTTTCCTAGATAACTAAAATAAATGACTTAAGTGTCCTCCTATGGATAATAAAGGAAGTCTGGTATGTATATAAAGTGGAATATTATTTGGCCATAGAAAGAAAATATTTCTGTTTGTGACAATGTGAATGGACCATAAATCTATTATACCCAGGAAAATAAGTCATAGAATGGCAAATACTATCACTTAATTCCTGAAGATATTATTTACTGGACAATGACTTCTTGGGATGTAATTTTCAGGATCATTACTACGGTTTTGATATCAGGGTTTACCTTTTCTTATACTATGTGTTGATTCATAGATTATTTTTTGATGTGACTATGGTTATTCTTAATATTTTATTTTACCTCTCATATTAGTGTGATGGGCTGGAGCGACAGCACAGCGGTAGGGCGTTTGCCTTGCACGCAGCCAACATGGCCGACCCAAGTTCGATTCCTCCGCCCCTCTCGGAGAGCCCGGCAAGCTACCGAGAGTATCTCGCCCGCAGGGCAGAACCTGGCAAGCTCCCCGTGACGTATTCAATATGCCAAACACAGTAACAAGAAAGTCTCCAATGGAGATGTTACTGGGCCTGCTCGAGCAAATCGATGATCAACAGGAGGGCCTTTATCTTTATCTTTATTAGTGTGATAAGTGGTTTAGTCACCACATCTATAGTACTGCAATAAAGTTAATGTGATGATAGTTGTACTTTCATATGGCATGGGCTTGCTATTTGCTATTTACCACCTATTTCTTTCCATTTCACTTGATCACTTGACATCCCATTACTCATCGGTTTGCTCAAGTGGGCGCCAGTAACATCCCTGTGGTGTGCTAGTGTAGCCCAATGGCATCTGCTCATTCTAGGAACATGAAGAGCCTCAAACCAATCGTTCAGAGTCTTGATGAGGAAGTCTGACTATCTGGAATCCAGTTGGTAATGGAAAAATCCAGTGGTAATCTCCAAATCTCATTCCGTGTCCAGCCCATCTGATTTTCGATGCCTTGGCAAACGAGACAGCATCCCTGATTCTTGACCATCGACAGAAGTTGGAACTCTGGAATCTTTCTCTCATTTGAGTGAAGTGTGATACTCCAAGCACAGCTCTTTCAATTCCTCTTTGGGAGACCCAAATAGGGTTCTCATCCTATTTTTGTATGGCCCAGGTCTCTAAGGCGTATGTTAATGCAGGAAGAACAGTGAAATCGTAAAGATGTGCCTGGAGCTGGAGGTTCTTCATCCTCTTAGCTATTTCTTCGACTCTCTTGAAGGCGTTCCAAGCTGCTCTCTTCCTCCTGCGCAACTCAGGTGCCAGGTCATTCGTCATGTTGACTTCTCAACCTAGGTACACATAACTGTTGCGTTCGGAGATGTTCGTCCCATTGAGAGTGAATGGAACATCAGGAACGAGACCGTTTCTCATAAACATTGTCTTCGTGAGATTCAGGTGGAGTCTGACCTTTTTACACTCACGGTTGAAGTCGGGCCAGCATTTCTGCCGGTTGGCTAATGTGGGTGTTATTAGAGCGATATCATCAGTGAAGCGGAGGTGGTGTAGTTGCTGGCCTTCTATCTTCACTCCCATTCCTTCCCATTACAGTCGTCGCATGCCATTCTTGAGGGTGGCACTGAAGAGTTTTGGTGAAATGGTATTACCCTGCCGAACACCTCTCTTGACATGGATGATCACTTCTTTGTAGAATGGTGATATCCTGGTAGTGAATCCGTAAAACAGTTCATGGAGGATCCTGATGTATTGAGTTTGAATGCCCTGATTGGCTAGGGCTTTGATGACCGCTTCAATCTCAACAGAATCAATGGCCTTCTTTAAATCAATGAACGCTAGACAGAGCAACATCTTGAACTCCCGAGAAACCTCAATGAGCTTGGTTATTGTGTGGATATGGTTGATTGTGCTGAATCCTTTTTGGAACCCGGCTTGCTCACATGGTTGTCCTTCATCTAGTGTTCTGCCAATCCTATTCAGGATGATTTGAGTGAACAGCTTGTAGATAACAGACAACAGGCAGATCGGGTGATAGTTCCTAATGTTGTGGATGTCTCCCTTCTTGTACAGTAGTACAGTCCTGCTGGTTTTCCATTGGGTCGCAACCTTGCATTCAGACAGGTAGCAACCTTGCATTCAGACAGGTAGCATGTGAAGAGCTGAGCCAGTGTATTGATGAGTACTGATGACAGGTTCTTCAGGTTTTCGGATCTGACCTTGTCTGGGCTGGGTGCTGTTCACTTCTTTACCGAAGAAATGGCACGTTGGATTTCGAAAGGGAGAACGTTGGGAACGACATATTCATCCTGTGGAATTTGGTATGTGGGCAGGTGGATGTGGCTATCAAAGATATCTGAGTAGAAGTCATGGACATTCTTCTTCATTGCCCTTCCTGAAAGATGTGATAGATCCATCAGGACATCAGAGGGCAATCATCTTGGTCTTGTAGTTGGCGAAGGACAGGCAGGTGTTGCGAATGCTTTTCCCAGCTTCTGCTGCATCTGCCAGCTCTGCTGCTCTTCTCTCTTTGAGGTCTTCCTTTATTGCTTCTATGCACTGCTTTGCAAGTTCGGACATTAGCTTGTGGTTGCCTGAGGCTTGTGCCAAGCCATGTTGGCGATGAGCTCGAGAGTTTTTGAAGACAGGCGTCTTTTTGTGGCTATCTCTCTCTCGGCATTCCTTGCACAATGATGGAGGTGCTGAACCATGACAACGTATTCCTCGCCAATGTTGTCAATGATGACGTCTTCCTATGTTGCCACAGTAGTGCCAAAGAGCTCCCAGTTGGTGGTTGTTCTGGGAGTTCTCTTCTTAACCTTTGCAGCCCTTTCTCCTCGCTCCCTGAAGTAGAATTTTGCACAAAGGAGACAGTGGTCCTATCTCATTTAAAATTTTGGGACAAGAGACATTGGTCAGGCAAAACCGCCAATTGAATATGATGTGGAACTGTCCACCGGGAGACTCCCATGTCCAACGTTTAGATTTCGCCTTCTGGAATTGTGTTACCATGGATAGTCTTGGTTGACATGATGAACTCAAACAGTCTCTCACCCTGTTCGTTCTATTCTAGGACATGGGTCCCAATGTGGAGTACTCCGGCTGATCTTTTCGGTTCTATCTTGGCATTAAAATCACCAACGATGATCTTGTAGAAGGTTTGGTCTTCTTTATAGAACTTCTCCCACTCCATGTAGAACTTCTCAATTTCTCCTTCATCATAATTGGATGTTGGTGCATGGACAACGAAGATAGAAACTGCCGGCAATGAGCCACACTATTCAAGTGTAATTGTCTGATTCGAGTTATTAGGCTTTCGAATGAACCAATGCTTATGGTCAAGTTCGTGTTGACAAGGACACCAACACCACTGACACCTCTTTTGTCGCATGTTCCGAGGAACAGTTCTTCTCCAGTGTTGAAAACAGTGTGATGCCTTCTCGTCTCAGTCAGACCAATGATGTCGTACTTGATCTTTCACGCTTGTACCATCAGGTCCTCGATGGATGTATCCGATGCTAGCACACGTGCATTGAAAGTACAGTCATTTTTGTCCTTCTTCATTTTGGCAGCCTAGTTCGGCCATGAGATTTTATCAGCTGTTGCCACGCTCCAGGACGCTTTCCAGATGCTCGGGCCAAGACTCACACACTAGTGAAGCCACACAGAACCAGGTAAGTGGAACTCTGTAACCTTGGACTCCAGGCTCAATGGACCCGGGAACAGAGATCTTCTGCCTGCTCCCACCAATCTCCAGTGACCAAGGGATTAAAACCAGAAGCCCCACCTTACCCTGCCCTGTCTGCTTCCACCAACCTCCAGCAACCCAGGGATTACACACAGAAGACCCACCCTACTGGTACCAGATAAATGCCTCATCAGCAGACCTCCACTACCTCCACTACCCGGCTGCTGCCATACTCTAGGAGGCTTTCCAGACACATCTTCCAAGATTACCGCACCATATTTGATAGGGTTCAAATATGGTTTGAACCATGGGAACACCTGCAAAGGCAATTAGAGGCTTCCCTAAAAGCCTCTATCCCTCTTAGAGAGACTGGCAAGGTACCAAGAATATCCTGCCCACACGGTAGAGCCTGCAAGCTTTCTGTGGCATATTCGATATGCCAAAACCAGTAAATATAATGGGTCTCATTCCCCTGACCCCGAAAGAGCCACCAATATGGCAGCATTAAGAAGGATGAGGAAGGAGAGGCTGATAAAATTTTTCCATTTAGCTCTTTAAAATAAACTTTTAACTATTTCTCTTGCTCTTTTTCATATGCTATATATAAATAAAACGCATATAATGTATTGAATGGCGTCTCACAAATCCTTTAGTATGTTTAGCAATTCTATAAGGAAAGTCAAATGGTAACAAAACCCCTCATTTTTATTATGTGTGGGGAGATCTTTATAATTTTATTTGATGGGGGCTTTTTATAGTTATAATACTTGGTTTGCATGCTTTCTTTCGATAGTTGGAAATAACATGGAACTTCCTTCTTGCATTTCTAATTATAAGCTTGCAAACAAGCAGGTTGTAAGAATTCTAACTATATGATGATTTTTCTTTCTCTCACAGCTTTCAAATGTTTGTCTTTTTTTCTTAACATTTGATATCTCATTATAATGTGTCTCAGAGGTAACTGC